GGTGCACGATCGCGATCGACCACCCCGGTCGACCGCCAAACTGTTAACCTATTTCTGAGCCTGCCAATCCTACAAATGAATGATTGGATCACAAACTCTTAACCAATTTTTAATCTGGTCTTCATGGTAAATATGACACCTGGTTTACACTGATCCTCCATAGTCTATACCTCTCCAATGTTAAGCTGCTTATTTTTGCATATCTCATCCATCATTCAACTAAAACAGCAATAAACCATTTATCTCAAAGCTTTAGGATTGGCTATATTTTATCAATCATTCAAATAATTTTAAGCAGAGGACTAATAACTGAGAAAAAAATCAGTAGAGTGTAATAAATAAAAAAGTTCAGTTACGACAGCTGCATTGGAGGCTATTTCAAGTTCTGAGGGGTTGTTAGATTTGCCAATGCTAAAAGTTGCTACAAATAATTTCGCTGATTCTCAAAAACTTGGACAAGGTGGTTCGGTACGGTCTATAAGGTAAATCCTCTCTTTTCCTAGTCATTTCCATCTGATCATGATAAATATTCTAATTTATCAGTTGCTTATTTATTGTTTCAGCATGTTTTTAAAGAATCTTTCTATTTCCTTAGGTAGGGAACCCTAGCTAATGGAGAAGAAATAGCAGTGAAGGGGCTTTCGGCAAGCTCAAGGCAAGGAATACAAGATGCTGAAAAATGAACTCGTATTGGTAGCCAAACTCCAACATAAGAATCTTGTTTGACTACTTGGTGTTTGTTTGGAAGAAGATGAAAAGTTACTCGTCTATGAATATGTGCCTAACGGGAGCTTGGACAACTTTTTATTCGGTATTTCTTTCACTCTTCAAGAAACTCGATTATTACTAGGAAACTTCTATCAGCTGTAGACACAACAATCACAATATTGAGTCTTATAGTAGCTAACTATTCAGACTGTATGCATAGGTCCTGTCAAACGAAAGTAAATAAAATGGGAAAGATGGCTTAACATCCTTTGGGGGATTGCTCAAGGTTTACTATATCCACATGAAGAGAGTGACCTACAAGTTATGCATCGTGATTTAAAAGGCAGCAATATATTGTTAGATGCAGACATGAACTCGAAAATCTCAGACTTTGGTTAGGCTAGGCTTTTCAAAGAAGATGAAACACAGTGCACAAGTCGATTGGTTGGAACATTGTCAGTAAATTCTTTCGAGTATATTATTTTTTTTAGTCATAGATAAAAGGTTAGGCATCTTAGGCAACAATCTAATTTCATTGGGGTATTGCAGTGGTTATATGGCAGCTGAATGTGCATAGTGTGGGCGTTTTTCGATGAAGTTGGATGTATACAACTTCGGAATTCTAGTTTTAGATATCGTGACTGGAAGAAGCAGTACTCGCTTCCAGTATAGTTCTAAAATTTCTCAAGACATAGTAAGCAATGTAAGTATGCATTTTTGAACCTTCAAAGATTACATGACTACTTGAATTTAGTTAACTGAGCTAATAACAAAACGATCTCTAGAAAGTTTCAATCTTTGGAGATATTTACTCGTGGATATGAGATATTTACCTGTGAATATATGCAAGGCTATTATGTGAATATACACGCATGAAGATTGTTACATTAACTTAGAAAGTAGTAGCAGAGAGAGAAAAAGTCTCACGGACGCTTGTATACTGCTCCCTGCACAAAAACAATTGAAGTGCCTGAATTAAGAATAACTTCATGCTAACAGAAAACTCTTTCTGTTAAGTAATGTTTTCCCGGTATAATAAGAAAAAAAGATTAAATAAGGATCAAGCTTTATTACCATACCAGGTTTGTTCTTGCAATGAAGCAGATGTAGGGTTCACCTTTTCTGTAAAGGCAGCGTGTCTTGTTATCATATAAGCTCATTTCCAAAGATGATAACTGCACTGTAATCACAATAGAAGCAACTTTTATTATAGGTATTAGGTGAGTAAAGAACTACTGATAGAAGGTTTTATACTCTGGCAGAAGCGAATTTAGCAATGAGTAAAGAACTACTGATAGAAGGTTTTATAATCTGGTAGTATAAGGCCATTATCATATATGTAGAGACAATCAACATGGGTAGGAAAGTTGCCGTTCAGACGTTAATTAGAGAGCTGGGAAGAATGAAGTAGGCAAAATAGAAGGATACCTATTGTACTAACCCCATTTATTTTCTTCCCCTAACCACCTTTAACTTATCCAACTCGATAACAACTGTTAGGGGAAGATCTATAAGCAAAATCTGAACTGTTGGGGGGTCTAGCATTTTTCCCAACTCTAATGGCATGCGTTAACTGTCATGAATATTATAGTATATTTGGTTTAGTGGATTCTTCCTACTAGGACATTGAGTGACAAGAGACATGTTGGGAAATTACTCAGATTTTCCTATTACCAGATTTAAGAGAAAGCGTAATAAATACGCAAAAAAGGGGACACGCAAGATTTACATGGTTCGGCACAAACTTGCCTACGTCCACGGGCTGCTGCAGATCTTTCACTAAAGGGGAGAAATTTTACAAACCACTCTCAAAGCTTTTCACACTCAAACTCACAACCCAATCTCACTCTGAAAATTGCTCACAATTTTCTCTCACAATGACTTTTCTCTAAGCCTTTCTTTTCTCTCTCTTACTCTTCTATAAGAGGAGTTGTTTCTAGGATGAGATTTTCCTTAAGAGTTTGAGGTCTATTTATAGTGTTTGGGAAAACACTATGCACTAATATTTTATTACTGGTGGAGCCCGCGGTGGGACTCGCCTACATTTTTTCTCTCTTCTCATTTTTCGGTGGCATGAGAACTTTGACAAAACAGAAAGAGCCAAAGGCTCTTTCGGTGGCATGAGAAGGTTGACAAAACCGAAAGAGCCAAAGGCTCTTTTGGTGGCATACTTTACAATCTCTCACTTGAAGACTGATTTTAATCTATCTTCACATCTTGATCTCTGCAGCAGTTCTTCTCCGGCCTTGATATTATTACAGGCCAACTGAAGTTGAACACAGCTTCAGTTTGTCAGTAGTCACCGTCTTTATCAGCATGTCTGTCGGATTTTGAGCTCCACTGATCTTTTCAAGTTTCAAAACTCCATCTTCCAGAAGTGATCGGATAAAATGATACCGCATCTGTATGTGTTTTGTTCTGGAATAAAAAGACGGATTCTTCACTAGATGAATAGCACTTTGACTATCGCAATATAAGATATTGTCTTTTTGTTTCTTGCCTAACTCATCCAAGAAACTTTGAAGCCAAATCATTTCCTTGCTGGCTTCTGTAACAGCGACATATTCTGCTTCAGTTGTGAAGAGAGCAACTATCTTCTGCAGTTGAGAAACCCAACTCACTGCAGTACCTCCTAGGGTATAGACATACCCTGTAGTGTTCTTTCTAATATCAACATTTCCTGCTAAATCAGCATCCACATAACCTGTTAGTATTGTATCTCTACCTTTGAAACAAAGTGCTTTACCTGTGGTTCCCTGTAGATATCTGAGGATCCATTTGACTGCTTCCCAGTGTACCTTGCTCGGATCATTTATGTACCTACTAACAGCTCCCACTGCTTGAGCAATATCTGATCTTGTACAAACCATGGCATACATCAGACTTCCAATAGCTGAGGCGTACGGGACCTTCGCCATGTGTGCACGCTCTTCTTCTGTCTTCGGTGACTGTTCTTTGGAAAGTCTGAAATGAACACCTAAAGGTGTACCCACTGGTTTCGCATCTTGCATGTTGAACCTGGAGAGTACTTTGTTGATGTACTCAGCCTATGATAACATCAAAGTCCTAGACTTCGTGTCTCTCTTGATCCTCATTCCAAGAATCTGCTTTGCAGCGCCAAGATCTTTCATTGCGAACTGCTTTGATAATTTTTGCTTCAAATTTATAATCTCTTGCAGATCTAAACCTGCAACGAGCATGTCATCAACGTATAACAATAAAATAATGAAGCTATTATCAAACCTCTTGAGATAGCAATAATGATCTGCTTGGCATTTAGTGAAATCGTTGATGCCCATAAAGCTGTCAAACTTCTTGTACCACTGCCTGGGAGCTTGTTTTAATCCATACAAGCTCTTTTTCAACCGGCATACTAGATTTTTCTTGCCTGCCTTTATGAAGCCTTCTGGTTGCTTCATATAAATCTCCTCCTCCAAATCATCATGAAGGAAAGCTGTTTTTACATCTAACTGCTCAAGATGTAAATTCTCAGCAACTATAATTTTTAATACCAGTCTGATTGTAGTCAGTTTCACGACCGGAGAGAAAATTTTATTGTCGTCAATATCTTCCTTTTGCTGAAAGCCTTTGACAACCAACCTTGCCTTGTAGCGCTTGTTCCCATCATGTTCTTCTTTGATCCTGTAAATCCACTTGTTATGAAGAGCTTTCTTACCTTGTGGTAATTCAGCAAAGTCCCACGTCTGATTTAACATGAGCGAGTCCATCTCATCTTGCATAGCAGACTCCCACTTGACTGAATCCTTCACCTGCATTGCTTCGTCATAACACTTCGGTTCACCACTGTCAGTCAGCAACAGATAGTGCAAAGAAGGCGAATAACGCTGGGTTGGCTTAAGAATTCTGGAGGAGCGTCTCACTTCTGGCATGCTTGGTTCTTCTTGAACTGCTTCAGGGCTAGTCTGAACATCTTTTTCAGAAATCTTCTCAAATTCAGCAAATTCCTTTGTTTCAGCTTTTGTACTGGAGCTACTTGATTCTGTAGTTAATCTGTCTTTGTACATCACATTCTCATTGAATATGACATCTCTGCTTCTGATGATCTTCCGATTTTCATAGTCCCAAAATCGGTAACCAAACTCATCACCACCATAACCAACAAAAACACATTTGTTAGATTTGACATCAAGTTTACTTCTTTCAGCAGAATCTGTGTACATAAGAAATACAAACAAAAATTCTTAAATGCGAAAGATTTACCTCTTTTCTGCTCCAAGCTTCTTCCGGTATTCCACCATCCAAGGGAACTGAGGGCACGCGGTTGATTAGGTAGGCTGCTGTATTGATAGCTTCAACCCATAGAAACTTGGGCAAGCCGGCATGTATCCTCATGCTTCTGGCACGTTCATTCAAAGTTCTGTTCATGCGCTCCGCTACGCCATTCTGCTGCGGTATCATGGGAATTGTTTTCTCCATCTTGATTCCGTTATTTGCGCAAAATTCTTTGAATATACTGTCTTTGTACTCTCCTCCGTTGTCTGACCTCAACCGCTTTATCTTCATACCAGTTTCATTTTCTACCATAGTCTTCCATTTTCTGAAGGTATCAAAGACTTCTGATTTCTTCTTCAGAAAATAGACTCATATCTTCCTTGTAGAATTATCAATGAATGTGACATAGTACAGTGAGCCTGCAAGAGATAAAACTGGAGATGGCCCCCATACATCGGTATGAACCGATTCTAACCTTCCTATCTCGGGTGTCTTGCCAATCTTTGCAAAACTAACTTTCTTTTGTTTGCCAAAGATACAATCCTCACATAGGCCAACATCTACATTCTTCAGATCCGGCAGCTTTCCTTTTGATAGAAGTGTCTTCATCCCTTTCTCGCTCATATGGCCAAGCCTTTCGTGCTATAGGTTTGATTTTTCATCTGCATCTGTTACTGCAATGATATTCTCTAAGTTAGAGGTTATATAGAGAGTACCACTTTTCTTATCTTGAGCAATGACGAGTGCTCCTTTGGTAATCTTTCATTCATGACCCGAGAAGGTTGTACAGTAACCCTCTCCATCAAGCTGTCCCACAGAGATCAAATTTTTTCTAAGGCCAGGAATGTCTCACCCCTTGCAGCTCCATGTGGTCTGATTTGTCAATTTTAATCGGATGTCTCCCTTACCAATAATCTTTAAGGTTTCATCATCTGCTAAATGTACCTTTACAAAATCACCGCTGACATAGTTCTCCATGATTTCTCGGCATGGGGTGGAGTGGAAGGATGCCCCTAAATCAAGAATCCATGATTCAATCGGACTGTTAACGCTTAGAATCATAACATCACCTCCTTCCTCGGTCACGTTGGCAGACTCCTGTGCGCCGGTGTTTTTCTTCGGTGACCGGCACTCCCTCTTGAAATGACCCTTCTTGCCACAATTGTAGCATTTGAAATCTTTCTTTGCTGATCTAGATTTGCTCCTCCTAGATTTTAATCTGCCGTGATTTGAACTTCTTTCTGAAGTTCTTCCCCTAGACTCCGTGTGTAAAGCTGAGGAGGTTAAAGCTTCACCTGATTCTCTCCGTCGAATTTCTTCACTAAGAATCAGATCACGAACGTCATCGAATTTCAACTTGTTGCTTCCCGATGAGCTACTCACAGCCGTGACCGTAGCGTTCCAGCTTTCTGGTAGGGAAGACAAAAGGATCAACGCTCGAACTTCCTCATCAAACTCAATCTCAACTGAACTCAACCGGGTTGTGACTATGTTAAGTTCATTGAGATGTTGAGCTGTAGATGCGCCTTCCGACATTCGCAAATTGAACAGCTGCCTCATCAAGTGAACTTTGTTTGAGGCAGAGGGCTTCTCGTACATACTGCAGAGAGCCGCCATAAGACCCACCGTGGTCTTTTCTTTTGCTATGTTAAAAGCAACGTTGCGGGATAACGTCAATCGGATAACTCCAATGGCTTGTCTGTCGAGGAGAGCCCACTCTTCATCCTTCATGTCATCTGGCTTACTTCCTGAGAGAGGTTGATACAGCTTCTTCTGATACAGATAATCTTCGATCTCATCTTCCAAAAGCCAAAGTCCGCACTATCGAACTTCTCAATTTTCACCTTCCCTTCGTCTGCAGTCATCGCTCCCACTCGAATCTGACTTCCTCTGGATCGTTTCAGACAATTTTGTGAACCATCGTGTATTAAGACACCTCTGCCGACA